CCATGTGTGTGGGATCGCTGACAAAGAGCAGAAGCTGTGAGCCCACGAACCGGGAAAATCTTGGCCTCCAGTGAAGACTCCAGGTCGACGCCACGTTTCCCACAAAACCCTTCCAGCACCAAGTGTGTCGGGCTGCGCTTATAGGATTCATGTGGAAAACAACATGCATCAGCCTTGAGTTTTTAGACACAGAGAGGAAATCTAACAGATAAAAATCTTCAGTGTTGTATCTTCTAACACACACACGCACACAAAAAAAGGAAAACGGTGAGCAATGCTAGACATGCAAACAAACGCAAACGCAATCGGACAGTCAATCAATGGGAGAAAATTTTAAAACAAAGGTTGTTTTTTTTTTCACATCAGCCAGCGTACGGCTCCGTAAAAACACAACAGCACAGAAAACGGTCGTCAAAGGAGAGACGTGACAGAAAAAAATAAAATAAAACGCCTGGGCAGACAATACAAGCACAGGAGCAGAGATGTGGAGCTGCCATTGCAATGCATAACATTTGATTCTGACGGTGATATACTGGATTTGCTGCTGCTGTTTTACACGCAAAAAACTTAACATTCATAAAAGCAGCACATCAATTAGACATATTGAAAAAAAAGGCTTCTTTGATGCACATTTCAAGGGTTTAGTTTAGCTTAATATACTGGGTAAAGGCTTGGGTGGAACCACAGTGAAGGTAGAGAGCACGAGAACAGGAAACGGAGAAGGTCGAAGTGATCGGAGAAGAACCACCGCGGTGGACAGGAAGCACGGGAAAGACTACAAAGCATGCCGTCTGTTGGAATGTGCAGGGCAGGAAAAAAGATTCCCACTAGGTAACAACTTCCATAGCGACCGAAGGTTAAAGGTTGTTCAGGCTGAGAACAGCCTAAAGTCACAAACAACATCCGAGACAAAAACTACAGTCAACAACAAAAAAAACATAGTATTTGGCCGGGTTCAAAGACAAACAGAAACATTGGGAGGGTGGAGCCCACGTCACCAAAAAGCAGCAGAGTTCTTGTTCCGCTGTAAGTCGTCATTGCACAAAGATAGTAAAGCAATACTGCATGGCTGAGTTCATCTGTATGCTTCAACAGTGTGGCGACGGCGGTCTGGGGTAAGAGAGACACCGAATAAGACGCACAAGTTCCTCAACAGGTCATACAAACTAGCCAGCAACTACAAAAATAACAATAATAATCATTTTCGATAGGTTTTACATTCAACAAGTTGTCTTTTTCTCCCCTTTGCCTCTAAGCTACAATATACATTGAATCAGTTCACTATAGCTTCTCAATAGCTTTTAAAGATGAAAGAAAATATTTGAGTAAAAGAAATGCAAAAAAAACAAAAAAAAAAACAAGGTTCCTTTCCATAGAACGGTTTCAAACAAACAAAAACAATATATGAAAAAGCCTCAAAGATTATGTACAAGAAAAGCCCTGAAACTGCAAACCTATATCTGAGTATCGCGTGGGCCTGTTTCCCAGCACAGCCACGGGTTCAAACCATAATGAAATGATCCGTGCACACACACATAAAAACATGTTGAACCCACTTCTTTTTTTCTTTCCTGGTGATGGTGGTCCAAACGGCACCAAAGCAGAGTCTGAGGACCTGATCTTTACAGGCCGGTATGCTTTGAATGGGTCCAGTTCTCTTGCATTGTGACCCTGTTGGTGCTTCCACAGAGGATGGAGATAAAACCGTAGGCCTTTTGAAACTGTGACCAAACCAACCAATCAAAAGTGGAATCCAGCACGAATAACAGTTTGTATGCATATAGAAAAGGTGGAGCAGCTTTCAGAAGAAAGATCAAAGCTCAAAGTGGAGCTTTACAGATGTGTGTGTACAAAAAGTGTGGATATTTTTTTTTTTGAAGGAAAATAAAAAAAGAACTTCTGGCAATGAAACACTTTAAAGTGTCTTCTGTTATCAAACCAGTGACGTGTAGCTCCGAACTGTAACTGGTGTTTTCCCATCGCTGAAACATCAAGGCTGGCGCTGCTTTCAGTCCTTGGCACTGATCCAAGGGAAGGCGAAGTGACGGACGACTGCTGAGTACCACGCTGTACTTCCAGTACCACGCTGTACTTCCAGTACCACGCTGTACTTCCAGTACAACGCTGTACTTCCAGTACCACGCTGTACTTCCAGTACCACGCTGTACTTCCAGTACCACGCTGTACTTTCAGTACCACGCTGTACTTTCAGTACAACGCTGTACTTCCAGTACAACGCTGTACTTCCAGTACCACGCTGTACTTCCAGTACCACGCTGTACTTCCAGTACCACGCGCCCACAACTGTCAGCACCACTGTGTTTAGCTGTTAGGATCACTCGCCAATGACGGGGAACCCCAGAGGATCTCGGCCCCTATCCCTGACACCCCCCATTCATTCTGTTGGTCCGTGACCGTATCCCTCCCACCCCCACCCCCTTTAGAAACAAAAGAAAAACGCGTTCACTTAAAAATTTGTAAAGATAAAACGTTCATGTATAAAAACATGTCTTCGCAGAGCAGCGTAGTGCAATTTCATTTAGTCAGTATACCTAGTATTCCTTTATGTTTTTTTATTGGCACTTGGTGATTTTGGTGAATGGAAGAGGCCTGCTGGCCTAGCTTATCTGGAACACTGCTAAAATAAAAGCTCTTAGTATGTTGGTGACATCGTCTGCCTTTTGATTCATTGTTTTTGTGCATCAGCTTTCACCGAGAAGTGACAACTCATCGTCCGTACGATGGCCATCAGCCAACGACAGGCGGCAAATGTGATCCTGTGGGGAAACAAGTGCCGCAGGTGTCTGTACGGTGACAGAGGTTTGAAGTCGATCGAGGGAAGTACAGGCGCTCGGTCACACGCTGCTACTGAGATCAGGTCAGGTGAGTGTCAGAAGCACTTAGAGAACAAGACATGCAGCTCAATGTGTGAGGAAAAAAAGCTGCTAATGTACAGCACAGGTGTGAATCTCTTCAAAAATATACATCTATAGTCATGACTGCATCTCAGGAAATTACAAAACAACTATTTATTCTTTATTTCTTGCCATGTCTTAAAGAAGGTCTTTAAGACAACTGGGTGTTTTAATCTGAGACTCGTTAGAGATTATGGGCTGAAGAAAACAAAACTGACGTGCCTATGAAGTTTCTTGGAAGCTGGTAATCATGGTATAAAAAGTATCAGTATTAGTAATGGAACATTAAAAACTTGAGTCGACTCTGAGAAGTAAATAGCACCTGCACATTAGTACAAAGAGGAAAACAAACTGAGGGATCTCTAAATGTCTAACTTCTGTTTGACGTTCATCGTTACGACCCGATACGAAGAGATCGACGCTTAGTTGTCCATCCATGTCACATGGTGTCAGTTCTTAAGTGCTTTTCGCTTTGGACATTTACAATTTGAGAATGGTAACTTTTAGAGAGGGGACAGCTTATTAATTTAAATATAATATTACTTTTTTTTTCCTTTGCCCTGTAATTCTATTAACAACAAGAATAGCCAATATTGCTAAACAAAGACAATGTTCAAAGGGATATTATACATAATGAAGGTATTTAAGTTTCTAAATACTACCACCAATAGTTCACGTACAGCTTGTAAACTTTAGCCTCTTTTTTATGGCCTTTTTTTTTTAACTCTAATGGTCTTATTTCATAAAGTAAGACTCAATTTGGTGAAACAGTTCAAGTCTTTGCTGCTGTCCAGGTGAGCCGGTGCACAGATCACCACCACCCTTCTTGCTTTGCACTGACTTGATTTGATTGATTTGCTTTCGATCTGCTGCACGAGAGTGAAAGATCACTTATAAACGTTTAAACCTTTTTTTAATATATATATATATATATATATATATATATATATATATAGGGCCCTGTGAAGTTACTTCTGCTATTTACAAAGAAACGTGATGCTAGGGATTATTCCAAACACGATGAAGCAACTTCTCCATTTACAAACAGCGAAAGATGAATTATAACGGCTGAATTGTCAGGTTGAGGTTGTTGGGATGCAACGTCCATGTTATTCTCCTACACACGACCATCAGACTGTCAAGTTAAAATTTTAAAGGCCAGTTACAATTCACATATTGTGGTAAACGATTTCTTTAAGAACATTAGTTGGAAAAACTTTCTGTTTCAGTTTATAACTCACTGATGACCTCTAAGCAAGAAAAAAATAATTAAACGCTGTCATTCCTCTGATTGCACGATGCAAATGCAAGTTGATTCAGCTCCTTATTGCTGAAATTAAACTATATTATGAAATAGATAATCTGCTCTCAGGGTTACAGTGATCTGTAGGGGAGACAAACATATGATCATATGGGGATAGTTTTCATAGATTGTGTACATTTCTCTGGAATATTCTGGAACGTCAAACTCTTTGTACCATGTGTTATGGCTTAGTGCAGCTTTGCAAATGTGAAACAACTCCAGCAGGCGGTTCTGAGTGAACACGCTGAAGAAGTTGTTGGATATTAAACGATTTGTGCTCCGAGTTGCAGTCGATAACCAGTAAGACTGCAGGAGACACCAAACCTGTTGGCTGTGAGTCTGTAGGTTCACAACTTTTATCTTTTGGTAGATTTCATGAAGTCCCTCAAAGAGTGGCAAAAAAGAAACAAGATATGCTGCAGAGGAAACACCGAGCACATCTGAAGTTAACCGTTGAACCTCTGAACAAGCGTCAAAAAGTAGCTTACATGATGCTCTGACAATGACCAACAGGGTGGGTCAAAAAGCTTATCTGTAGTCTTCCATCACTGCCTTGAGTAGAAGCAAGTGGAAAAAAAAGAATCTGATCAGGAGGTTCACAACCTAATTGGTTTCTTTTTTCCTTATTTTGCTTTAAGTGGAAAATGTCTCAGTCTTAGAAAAAGTCTCCAGACCTGCATAAGGTTTGTTTTCTTTTGCTTGCACACCAGTTTTTAAACTCTCATTGTGTTTGGAAACAAAAAATGAAATAAGGCGATCCCCTGCCCTCCCTGCTGGCCCAGAAGAAGCAGAACTGAGAACTTTGCCCTCGCCTCCTTGGTGGAAGAGTGTGCCTCGCCGTGGCGCCGAGCGACAAGGAGCTCGCCTCAAAGACAGACTGGATTAGTCGGTGAATCTCTGACAGGCTTTTTTCCAGCGACAGGCTGTGCACCACATGTCCCTCTTCTCCATGCCGTACACCTTTCGGCACTTCTTAGCCTCCCCACGGGGTTTCCTTGGTAACAGCAGATGTGACAGCGTAAGGACACGCATGCAAACATCCAACGACTCACACACGGGCAAGGAACAACACAAACATAACATGCTCGTATCAAAGGAAGCTAAATGTAATCAGGCGAGGAAAATAAATTAATGAGCACAATAATTTAAGGATTGCTGAAAACAACTCAAACGACTCAAACTACACTTTGTTGTATTAACAATTACAAAGTGGAAAAATAAGCACTTATTTGGCCTTTTTATGATGAAAAAATATAGATGTAACTTGATATATGTGGGTTTGATCAACGTAATATTTTAAAGTTAAATCTAAAAGTTGTTTTTGTTTAACTTAAGAGTTATAACAATTAATTAAAATTATGTTAAAGATTTTGTCTTGATAAATTCTATATATATATATATATATATATATATTCTATATGTATATATATTCTATGTGTATA